AATCGCGACTTTTAAGAAACACTATGTGAAATTAACTTTCAGCTACATTCTCTTAAAATTGATAACATTTCCGAAAGGCGTTTGAAAAATTCCAAAAAGAGCTTTCGATCGTGTCGATGAGAGCCTGGCTATCGTCACGTTTACAAGCAGCTGATCAAACGATCCACCACGACTTCATCAGATGCGCGTCTTGTTGTGTTTAATTGTGTGAAAATTTACCCCTGTTTAAAATGAGAAATTACATTCTGTAATACGTGTAATTTAATTATTTATTTCGTTTGGAAATAGCACTTTCTTTCTTTGACATGTTTTCCAAGTGAATTTTTTTTGTCCCTCTCCACCGCATAAGAAAAATTTTCTTTAATATGTTGTAAAATAAAACTATTTGTTACAGCTATTTATGAAATTTCTCAATATTTTCTTTTATTCGCAAAAACAGGTTTTGACTGTACCAGTCAGTAAACCATATCACAAAGAGAGAGGAAAAAGAAAAAGAAAAGAAAAGAAATAGGGATTCTTAGAACTTCTCTCTGTCTTTCTCGTAGCTTCGTACAATCGTGAAGAAAAGAAAAAAAAAGTTCTTTTTTCTTTCTTTTTGTTCCCTTTTCCGAGACCATTGTGTATCTTCGTAGAATTGACGCATCTCTCCCGAGCATAATGGGCGCCGTTGTCGTTCGTGACGCGATCCTCGCGAGCAGCCGGTTGACTTGTCAGAAGACTGTACAGACACGTCTGACAAAATGATACACCAGTTCATCCACCAGCGCCGCATATCGTCCGACATGTTCAGAGTGACGATGCGCGGTAAGGTGAACGGCCCGTCGGGTTAACGAATGTGCCGCGGTGTGTAATAATCGCAGTCTCGGTGATCGTTGAAAGAGAGAAGAAGAAAAAAGAAAAAAAAAAAAAAAAGAAGGCTGATAACGCGAACATTTCCTTTTTATTAACCCTCGCTCGCTCGTTGAATTTCAACCTGCGGAATTCATATTCTTTTCTGCGGAATTACCATTTTGGTGAAAATAGTGAGATATATTCACAGCCTGTAAATATATATTATTTTCGTTAAAAGAAATTTATATTGCCAGACTTGACGTAGGAATTAATTTCGGAATATTCACTAACATGCTAACCTTTAATTTAATTCTTCTCTCGAAACAACAAAATAATGGACTTGCACCACTTTCAAAATAAACGGGCCGTATGTTGGTTCGTTATTTTTTTCCTTTCTTTTTTTTTTTTTTTCTTCTTCTCTGGTAGATAGACGCAAATTCGTCGCAAAATCGTCGATACTATTCGTACGTTCGTCGAATTAGTGAAAAAGAAAATTGAACGTTTCCATAAATGTCATCCGCTTTCGCAACGGGGTGTCAACGATGGTAATCTTGGATGATGGATTTGATAATCTCCCAGTGCAAACAGATGGACGTCGGTTCTTTATTTTTTCTCTCTCTCTCTCTCTCTCT